CCGCGGCCCCGCCGCCCGCCGGCGGTGGCCCAGGCCCGTCCCCTCCCGGTCCCCCAGCCCGGTTACCCCCGCCCCGGGCACGCCGGCCCCTGGCACCGCCGGCACCCCTTGCTGCACCCGCGGGTCCCAGCACCCGCGCAGCCCTGCCCGCCGGGAGCAGCCTCCCCAGGGGGGTGCCAGCACCCCAGCGAGCCCCGCACGGCCCCGCCGGCACCCGAACAGCCGGCAGGACCCCGCACGCAGGCACCGGGGCACAGGCAGCAGGCACACGCGTGGCTGTGGAGCCCTTTATTGAGGGTGAAGGAGGAAGGGAAGGCGCGGAGGGCAGGGAGCGGGGGGGCACTGCTAGCCCTGGGGCACGCCAGGACCTCGGTGAGACCGGGCCCCTTCGCCTTGCCAGCAGCCAGGCAGCCTGGGCTCACTCTGTGTGCGGGGAGAAGCTGGCAGCATGGGCCGGGGCACCGTGCCCGTGCCGGCGGGGCTACGCTGCGTGCCGAGGCGGCTATGGCGAGTAACATATGACAACCAGGTTATTGCGGCTCCCCAGCGCAGGCATCTTGCCCGAGAGCTGGGTGCTTGAGATAATACTTAGCTCTTATACAGCGCTGCTTAAAGGATGCTCCCTGCCACCCCCGGGGTGGCAGAGTGGCTGTATTCCTGCCCTGCGCTGGGCAGCAGCAGTGGAGTGGGGCAGGGGTCCCAGTGTCCCGGCTCCCATGCAGCCGGACCCCGGCACTGCCCTCCCCGGGGCGCCGGTGGCTGGGAAGGGGCACGCGCCCTGGCCCTGGCCACAGCCGAGGGCAGGCTCAGGCGAAGACGGCGGAGTTTTGCCAGTAGGAGTAGACGAGGAAGCCGGTGAAGGTGCTGTCCGTCTTGACACTGGCGTAGAAGCCGATGTAGTCCCCCACGCCCACCTGCACCCACACCTCGTCCTCAGGCTCCAGGCGGACCAGGGCCCCCCCCGAGAGCGAGGTGGGCTTGGGCCAGTTCCCGTAGTACTGGAAGAAGGAGGCAATGGACTGGCCGTTCTTCATGATGTCGAACTGGAGGCTGGCACGGTAGACAGTGGCGTGGACAGCGAAGTAGTAGAGGCCAGGCACCTCGCAGGTGAACTTGCCTGTGGTGGGGTCGTAGTGGCCCTGCTCGTTGATGAGCACCACGTCGAAGCGGATGGGCTGGTCGGCCAGCGGCGGGCTGCGCGACTCGGAGCGCTTGGCACTGAAGGCCGAGCGGGGGGCCACCGCGCACTCGCCCTGCGCCCCCTTCTCTCCATGCATGCCATCCACGCCGGGGCTGCCCACCTCCCCGCGGGGACCAGGCGCTCCTGGGACAGGCAGGAGGGGTACAGGGTTACCTCTAAGCCACCACCACCAGCACGGCCCCCTGCTATCCCAGCTCCCCCAGACCCCTGCCCAGCCCAATCCCACTGGGATTACAAGCCTCCCACAGGGTGGAGGTGGTGAATAACCCTATGGCCAGTGCTCTGCCTGGGGAAGCAGCACAAGCGGGGAGGGCTAGGTGCACGTGATAAGCAGGCACACTGGCAACAGAGAGTTGGAGAAACCCCCACAGGCTGGGAGAAAACCCAGCCCAGGAGCCAGGGCGGGGATGATGCAGCTGTATTCTGGGGACAGCTCGGAGGGCCCTCCTAAAGTGGGGGGTGGAAGATAGGGATGGCAGAGACGATGGGGAGAAATGCAGCTTTGCCAGTGGCAGGGAGCTGCTGCCTGTTGCAGAAGCACAGCATCACCACCGGCAGGACCGGAGGGGCAGCGGTGGCACGAAAAGGGCACTTCTGCAGTAGTCGCTCTCAGTTTGGCAATGGGGGGCTGTGCCAGCATCCAGGACTCACCCCCTGGCATGAGGGCATTCCCCACAGGCAGGGCAGAGCAGGTCCCGCTCCCCAGCCAGGATGTCTCCTTTCTTACCAGGAGGGCCCATCTCGCCCTTCTCCCCCGGCATCCCCATCGCCCCGTCCCGGCCGTCTCGTCCGTCTCTGCCTGGCAGACCCTGGCCCCCATGCAGGCCTGGGGTACCCGGGATGCCTGGCTGCCCTGAGCACAACCCAGGGATCTTGTTGTCTTCAATCTGCAGGGAGCTGGCGATGAGCCCAAGGAGGAAGAGGAGGAAGAGCTGCTTCATCTCGTCTGGCGTGGAGGGGCTGGAAGGGGGCAGAGAGGGGTAACGGCTCTGGGGACGTCAGTGAAGAGGGTTGGGAAGCAGGCTTGCAGTACCCGGCAGGGAGTGGGCACGGGGGGTTGGTGGGGGACTGTTTTCTTTCTCCCTTGTCTTTTCGGCTGCTTCCTGACCACTGGCCGCACCTGCCGCAGCATCACCGGCTATGCCACCACATCATCCTTCAGCCCACCAGAGTCCCCGCCATGGGATGGCATAATGGGGTGCCGGGGCCAGGGAGCTGGGGCACGTGCGGGAGGCAGTAGCTCTGTGCGTGCAGTTGGGGGCTGTTGGGGCTGGGAGCTGCCGCACCGGCAGTGTGCCTGGCTACGGGTGTGCATGGGGGTGCTGGTGGGGGACTGTTGCGGCGTCAGCTGGAGGGCAGCGGGTGGGGTTGTTGCATCCGGGGCAGTGCGTGGCGGGGCAGCAGCTTGGGGAGCGTGGGGCTGCATCGCGGCCCAGCCCTTGGCAGCATCCCTGCTGCCGGCAGCTCTGCTCCACACCCGGCCGGCTCCCTGAGGCACGGCTGCCTGGGGCTGCAGCATCCCCGGCTGTGCCGGACCACCCCAGTGCCGGGGACCACCCTGCGGCCCAGGCTGCCCCCAGCCCTTCCCACACCAGCCCAGCGAGAGTGGAGCCCCGCAGCTGGCGCTGGCCCCCTCCCCATGGCCTTGCCCAGGGAAAGCCGCTCTCTTCCCCCTCCTGGACGCGACAGCGGCAACAAAGAGGAAAAGGAGGAGAAAAGTGTCTCTCCTCCGCCCAGGCGCCGCATCCAGGACCCCAGCGAGTCCCAGCTCCCCCCGGCACTGGGTGGACGGAGCTGGGTAGCCCCACTCACTGCGATCCCGTGGCTCCTGCCCCAGCGCCTCTCTGCTCTCCGGCGTGGAAGGGCTGCGGCTCTTCCTGACCACTTCGCTCTGACGAAGGCCCTAGGAAAGGCAGCCTCTCCACCCCCCCCCTCCTCCTCACGTCTCTCCTCCCAAACTCCAAAGGAAATCAAGGGCCTTGGGAGCCAAAAGCTACAAGACAAGGGGAAAAAGAAAAATAATCCCATGGTGTTAGAAGTGCTGTAAGCAGGGGGAAGGGAGAGTGAGACAAACTGCCTGGCAAAGGGAGAGGAGGCATGGGCTGCAAATCACCTCGGCTGCACACGTCTGGGCGCCCAGGCAGCAAGACAGAGGGAAGGGAAACGAGAGAAAACAGGCAGCAGAGCGAAGGCGGAACAAGAGAAAGGCCAAGGGAGGCCAACCCAGCAAAGGCAGGCAGGGTTGGAGCGGGAGAAGGAAGAGGGAGCCCTCAGGGTGTGCAGGTCTGGCAGCCTCGGGGCTGTCCCCGGCAGCAGGGTTGAGGCAAGGGGGATGGCAGGGCGCACACAGGCTGGCAGTGCACCCGTGGGGAGCTGCAGGAGCCAGCGGGGGGTGCCCGTGTAGGGCCCGGAGGCAGCGCATGGGGCTGAGTGGGCAGGGACGTGCCAGGCAGCAGCAGGCAGGTGGAAGCGCAGGCAGAGCAGCACTGCGGCCATGCCAGGAAGCAGGGCTAGCCCTAGGGGACCGCGGGGCACGCGGCAAAGCTGGGACCATGCCGGGCTTTCGAAGGCACTCCCAGCTTGCCTTTAACTTGTTCCAGCACCGAGTGCATCCAAGGGACACCGTCAGAAGCCGAGCGGTGGGGCGGTCCTGTGGCTGGGGGGAGTCCTCATGCCCTGCAGCCAGCTTGCAGCAGCTGGGACATGCAGGGAGCGAAGGAGCCGGGTGGCCTCAAGCCCCCTGAGCCGGGGCAGCTGTGCGGGAATGGCGGTGCCGTGCTGGCTGCAAGGGCAGAGGGGTGCTGACCCGAGTGGGTCCTGCTCCCAGTAACCCCAGCCAGGCAGGGGACTTTCCCACGGGCTCAGGGCAGGAGAGGGCAGCGGGAAGCATGCCGGCACTGCTGGCTTTCTCCTCCCTGTGCCGGTGCCCGCAGCAGTGTGGGTGACATTGCTGGCTGAGCCTTCCTGCCCCGGATGCCTGGGGCCAGGCTGGGTGCTGGCAGGGAGCCACCTGGCTCCTCTCTCCCAAGGTGTGAAGGGGCTGTTGTTTTTGGCCAGCTGGGAGCTGGTTTGTGGCTGCGGGGTGTTGCCAGGCCTGTGGCCATCAGGGTGGCCTGAAGCCAGCGCGGCCAGCTAAGCCAGCAGGGCCACAGCCTTTGCTGGGGCAGGATCCCCTCCCTACACCATGGGGCCGCCAGCCTGACCCCCTCTGAGACCCATCCATCTCCCTGGGGCCCTGCAAGCCCCCCCGCCCATCGAGGGCACAGCCAGCAGCCCATTCCCCCTGCAGCTGGACAGTCTCCCCTGTGCCCCTCCATTCCTGCCCAGACCCCCCACCGCGGCCCCGGCT